ATTAGTAGCCACCCGGGGACAGAAGCATACTGAGTCCTTACGCGACATGTAAATTATTCATTTGCGATATTCCAGATATTCCTAAGCATAGAGGTTGCGTTTTGCCCGTTCCGCGGGCAAGGACTTCGCTGTTGCAAATGGATTCACTGTACCAACTCAAAGTATTTTTCTATTACAGTAAATTTGCAATCTATGCTAGAAAATTGTTGTCCATCTTCTGAGATAAAATACGTTGACGTGGATCAGGCTGATATTTTCCTTCCCGTGATCCTAAACTACAAGGAAAGTGGCCTAAGTTCTCAGAGCAAAGTAGTTCCCATACTTCCCAACACAGGGGTCGCGTTTGTCGTCAAGAGGGCTGACAGAAAACACCTTCCCATTAAAATTTTGTCCTCCATCTTCAGTTCTTGGCCCGTGCTAGTGTTAACATTGTTATTGTCTGTGCTGGCAGGAATCGTCGCCTGGATACTGGTTTGTAGAAATTGTTTTGGTACATTCCGTCAGTCTGATGGTCAGTCTTTCTTTCTGTCTGTCTGTCTGTCTGTCTGACTGTCAGTCAGTCACTTACTCAGTCTGTCAGTGCTTCTGTCAGTCTTTCAGTTGCTCAGGTAGTCTTTCTGTCTGTCCGTCAGTGATTAAGTCAGTCTGTCTGACAGTTGCTCAGTTAGTCTGTCTGTCTGTCTGTCAGTCTGTCAGTCTGTTTGTCTGTGAGTTGGTCGGTTAGTCCGAGGGTCTGTTTGTCTGCCTCGTTGTCTGTCGCTTCAAGAGTCAGTCAGTCTGTTAATCGGTTAGTCTGTCTATCAATCAGTCATTCTGTCAGTCTTTTAGTATGTTGGTATGTTAGTCTGTCGGTTAGTCGGTCAGTCATCCAGTCGGTCAATATGTCTCTCTGTACGCCAGTTAGCCAGTCATTTAGAAAGTTGTGTCTATCTATGTGTATGTCTAACCGGTACCAATGGTGAACAATCATAATTACTTCTACAGGATACCAGGCAAAATACAGAGGAATTTCCCCTGAGCTTCGTTCAAGGATCATGGGAGGGATTTTGGTGGGCTTTTGTGTCCATGACAACAGTCGGGTAAGCTAGAGAACGTTATCAGTCGGGCATATAGTCACTCATTTACTACGTCTGTCAATAAATCAGCCATATATTCTTTGTTTCAGCTATGGTGATCGCTGCCCAAAGACTATCTCAGGGAGATTGTTTGCCATCATCTGGATTTTAACTGGGATTTGCATGTGTTCCATTTTCACTGCCATGTTAACAACCTCTCTTACTACAATCAGCTTGGACACTATGATTCCCCTCCCTCAGGCAAAGGTGAATATCATATAATCAGGCCCCGTGGCCCGCCTTGTGACGGGTGTGCTAGACTGCATAAGAAGAGGCTTAGTGGCATAGTAACACCGGCTGGGTTGGTGTGGTGTGGTGTGGGGTAAACACTCCAACCTCTCTTTTCCACCCATAAGGAACTTTATTAATTTGAAACTACGGGAAAATTGGTAGAAACATTAATTCTGTCTAAAATAAGCTACTATGACATTGTTTTTTATCCACGACCAAAGTTCCTCTCAGCTAGACTAGAAAGGCTCCAGTTCGCTATGGCTAGTTTCATCACTTGTAAATATGTAAACAGTATATCTACCATTTTGGATCTTGGCTGGCTACCTATCCTGGAGCTAAAGGACTACTTGCTACTAGAGACTATTTGTAAAGCACTTTATTCTGATAACTGGCCCTCCCATTTAAATTTGCAAGTCGTTAAACCCGTTAGGCATCTCCGTTCCAGTGTTGCTCCAAGGCTTTATGTTCCATTTGTACAAGGCACCTTTCAGCATTCAGCAGCCATGATTTTTAACGAATTGCCGGCAAATTTAAGGAATTGCACAGATTTTAAAGAATACTGCAGGCTCTGCAAGGCATTCTTAAAGGCGCGCGCTTTGTCTTCCTTGTAAAGATATAGAAATAAGCCCCACCACCAACCAATATATTCTACATATTTACTTCCATGTATAGTTTTTATTATAATTTAGTTAGTCATTATGATTTAGTTTTAATATTAAATATTAGTATCGTAGGCCTTCACAGATGAAGAGCCACACCTTTTATGTGGATATACTGTGAATAAACCGTTATTATTATTAGTATTATAATTATTATTATTATTATTATTATTATTATTAGAAGAAGAATTGTTATAATCTTTTGTGATTATGGCGAATAAAGGATTATACTCATTAGAAGAATAGTAAGCTTCCGTGCACTGGCCTCCTGTCTAAGTGGAGAGGCCATACTCTTGGTAGCTAGGCAATACGGAAACCAGGAAACCCCATCTACACACAGATTATACACGTTTACCGTTTTACTCTGGAATATCCTTACTGATAATCATAACAATAACAAAAAGAATAAAAAAGCTTAAGATGGTGAAGACCATTTTCGTGAAAGCTCTTCACCAAAGGGTAACGCAGAGTCTCTTTTCCCGTTCAGTGAGGGTCATCAATAATCAAGATATCAATCGGTATGGATATGTTTTCATCAAGTTTGTAAGCTGGGCTAACACTTTTACCTCAACCTGGCCTGATAAATGAGATTCAGTGCCAACACAATATTCACAAAGGAAAAATTTAATGCTGAGATGAATTTCACTCTTTAATCAAATCTCGTGAAGAGTTTGGTGGAAACTTATACGATGTATTTCAACACTTTTGTGCAGGTGGCGGCTGTCTTCGGCTCCATTGAGGCTACAACAGGCTTTCAAAGACAAGCTCAAGTTATACGTGAGTATCGCTGACTCTCACTGTTATTCAAAAATTGCGAAATGGAATTTTCCTGCTCTCGTTCTTTGGGTAAGATTTGCGCGTAGCAAGTGGCTCTTGATAACAATGGTCTATCAAGCTGGTGCATGACCGAAGAGTTGTACTGTTTCAAAAGGTCAGAAATAATAGCAGAACCACTGGTCACTTGAATAGTTCTTCTCTGAAAAAGCATAGTTCGACCGAGATATTCATTGCATTACTCTTAATTGTGGAATAACGATATCTCTTAATTTTTTTCCTAATCCAGGAGTCCACAGCATTAAAGAGATCCAAGAGAAAATTTTGGAAGGGGAAGCCATAGGTATGAAACATTTTGTGTTTAACATTTTAAAAAAGCCCAGACTTTTTGGGAGTTATGGAGTAAATATATTCACACTCACTTTATTTTCTCACTTTCTAAGGAGGACTCATGGACAGCTTCACCTTGAGTCACTATCGAGACTATTTCCCAGCAAATGAATTCAAAGTACAAGAAGTGATCGCTCAAGAATACCTGGAATATGGTGCACAGATTGAAAACCCTTCTCTGGTCAACCTGGTCAAATGTTTGAAAAACTTGCGCTTTTCTGATGAGTCTGAAATGTATGAATACGCTGAATTGTATATGGGGAAATCAACCAAGGTGAATGATTTCTTTGAAGTTATTAAGTTGCCATATAAAAGGAAAAAACATTATTGGTAAACCAAGTGAACCCATTTTTTGGTGTTCGTCGCACTTTGAAGAAGCCTGCATATGCGACCATTCAATAGGAGGGCTTAGGACGATACAGACGATACAGATGACATTTGTGTTCCACAGGAAAACAAAAAACAAACAGACAACTAAACAAACAAGCCAGAGATGAATTTTCTCATTAGTAACAATTTTCAATTTTAATGGCGCGGACTCTCAATATATTTCTCAATAAAAAACACGTTATCGTCTAATTTGGTGTCTGGAAATACAATATAACAGAGGAGATAAATTCACAGCTACTGAGAAAGAAATTATTTTCAAATCTCTTTCATTTTCTTCTTTTCCTCAGAGTAGCTTAGAGGAGTCAATGACGCCAAACGACCGAACAATCGGTGTAGATCCGGAAGGTCTACTGTTTTATCCAGCATTGTTTACTTGTCTGGGGATCCTCACCTTCTTTCTTATCTCCGGTGCTACCTGGGAACTGTGCCGAAGGACACGCATGCGAAAAAGTGAACGAGGAGGTTGGTTTTGTTGTATAAACTTGTCTGAGGACTAACATGTTCCTAATGGCACATCACTGAATGGATGACTTGGTTGACTAGCGAGGTTGATCATGAGCCAACCTGATTTATGAAATACACCCTACCGCGAAATGTATTCAAGTTATGCAGGCTCAAAAAAACTCAGACAATCCCTCAGTGTCGTTAACATTTGCACTGACACAATAATTGACTATACACTTTAATTCAGAAAGGAGATTTAAGTTATCCTCCTGGGAAACATGGTTTAATAACTTGTGTACTGTGATTGAGGTAAAGTGGTCGCGATTTTGGAGCCAGTTTAAGTTGGGAAGGAGTTAAAGGTTATAAGCAAGACCTAAAAACCTCGTTTTTCAGCTGACGAATGACATTGAACTTACCCTACGCGCCTTTTCCACCATAAACGCAACTAATCATGATATTTTGCAATGGTTTCGGTTGCGAGTCATTTGAGTCGCGGGATTGTATGAAATGACTTTGCCTCCCTGAAGCTGACTTGTTAGCAAAGGATTATTTTCCTCCATTTAAAAATGCTGAAATATCATCTTATTGTCATCAGCTGAGTTAAGCAAAAATCTTTTCTTTAATTTACAGCCACTGAAAAGTTGAGCCTACAGGCATCCAGTGAGGAAGATGCTCAAACACAGAAAACGAATGCTATGCTCAGGGAATTTGAAGAACAGGTTGCTGGAGACGTCAGGAAAGCACTCAAGTCTTTGCGGCAGAATTTTAGTGACAGTTTTCTACGCCCCTATAAAAACTGCAGTAGCGAGACTCAGGAAACCTGGACGTCAGTTTAAGGCTTTATAAACATCGTCTGCAATATCTTATGATATACTGAACAAAAGAAAAATAATGAAGCGACAAACAAAGAGCAAACCAAGGAAAAAGCAAAGGAAAAAGCATAGAACCAAAAAAATCACTGCTGGAATTCCTTCACTCGCCCAATTTGGGGTAACTTAAGGGTATAGTTAGCGTCAAGACAAAGTAATTTAGAACATATAGGGATGCCTTTTTCAGGCTATTTGTTCAGCTTTTTAATCCAATCATGGTTTTGTTTTAGATTTTCTACAATTTCGTACAATGCGCTCTCCTACTATCTTTAAGGTAAATAGGAGTTGCTTCTCTGTAGCCATTGAGTATTAGAAATCTAGTAATCCCTCGAGGCTGTAGAAATAGTAAAATCTCTGGTTAACAGCACTCCTTTCAGATCCTTAGCTACCGTAATAATTTTGCTTTCCCAATCTCTATCCTTTAATAGGGGCGGCACATACCTGTATAGCTTATGTCGAGGGATGCAATCAAACCTGTCATAACAGCCTTGCTTTCGTTACTATGAACAGCTTGCCGAAAATCATTCCTCTAATCTATTGTTAAGATAACCTGTTTATAAAGGTCATCTGTATAAAGACTCCCACAATTTCACTATCACGTACCTTTATTAAACGGTCACCAATGTAAGAAACCATAGCGAACGTATCATACCAAGCTTTACTCCACGGCTTGTTATTAAAATTGTAGCTATCAGGGACGGGGTGTCAGTAGTACTATCAACGATACTACATTTCAACGCCTTGCTGTGTCCAGCATGTATTTATGATAGATAGCAACACAAGTGCCAATGTCCTACTCTCGGGAGCGGGTCAAGTTCGTTTTCAAACAATAGTTTTTACCCGATACTTGGGCCACTAGCAATCAAACGGTAGCAAAGGTAGTGGGGCTCGTAGAGCAGCTGAAAATGACATTTTTCCAGTTCCATGGCAAAGAAAAACTGTCTTTTGCTCTGAGCAAAGTCAATGACATCCCACGCGGAATCTAGCTTTTCGCTCCGATATCTTAGAAAACATACTAGATGAATTATTTTCAGTTTAAAATCCATACTACTATGGTGCACCTTTCCTGCAAGAAAACTCAAGGGGGAAACTCAAACTTACTGGAACTCTGTATGAAATTGCATTGTTAAACGTTTGCAACTTCCTCAACCATAAATCTTGCGAAGCTCTTAACCAGTGAAAGCTATTCGCAATGCATGCGCCCGCCGTTCCCTGAGACTTCTTTTAAGTTCGCCAATATGAGTTATAAACACTTGTAAGTTTCCAGAGTGTGCCTTCCGAATCAAGTACACATGTTAGCACACTTTATCTGTCTTAAGTATGGATTCGGTTTTCCAAGAAAGATGAGAGAGCAATAATAGACCGAACGCCTGTTTTTATTATTTTGGGACCAGCGAACTCTGGTATTGAAGTTATCATCCTCCGCACATTTTTTGTGGCTTCGTGGCTCTTTATCCTTTTAATTACTCCAGGCGCCAGGAGTTTCGTAATTTTTTTTGTCCCTGTTTTCTTTGTTTCCGTAACAGTTTCCTCGTTCATACCTCATTACTGCTCTGGCTCCAAACTTTTCGTCAGAAAGGGGGGTTTGGGCATAAAATTACGAATGACTCAAAATATAAAGAGATACGATATAGCAACGGCCTTATCATCATCTTTATTAACTGAAAAGGTAGTCACTGGTGAGACCTCAAGTACTTGTCACTCGGTTACATAGTGATCGCTGCTACTTCAGGCTGAACTATCACTTTTCAGCCAAGTTACAGTTACAAGCCCACCCTTCATAAAACACTCTAAAATAAAAGTAATTTGAATTTCGCCTATCGTTTAAAGGAAAATTTCCCACACGTAATATTCTGACCTTGTTGCATTAAGTTTAACACTGGAAGTTAGCGAGATTTGTCTATGACTTGGCAAGAGCTTCTTCCTCAATCTCCAGAAGTTTCTTGACGCCATTGTACATGTCCTGCACACACTGCACCTCCGACAAACCCAACCGTCTGCGGTTACTGATGTCAAAAACTCCAGCATCTTCTCCAGTAGACACGGAGTGTTCGCCATGGATTCCACGTGCCTGGGAAAAAAGGGCATTACAATAGGAGAGTGCAAAAAGAATGATCATTATATTTACGTCCTCAGATATATTCGATAGGTCGTTCGGTTTTAAACAATAGGTACGACTCTAAGTCCGAGTGCAAATCTTGCAGTATGCCTCCCTCCTCATTTCAAGGTGTTATAAGGGTTTGTTTAAATTTACTTTCTAACATCTAAAACGATATTTTCATACCTTAATATAATTCTTTACAGTTAACCCCAGCCTTCTAAAAAACAATCCTAGACATTCCTCACCTGAATGTGGAACTCGTCACAAATCTTTTTGAAATCAGGATGTTCACTGGCGTGAGGGATTTTCACGTGCACACTAGCACGCATGCCTGTGCCCAGATTAGTTGGGCACGAGGAAAGATTTCCGCGGTACTCATCCTGTTGAAATCCAATTTGTTTGTCCAGCTCATTAACAGCCAAGCATAGGCGTGCAAACACTGACTTGATGTCGCTTCCTTTCTCCATACTGATAATCCTTAAGTGGTCCTCTTCGTTCACCCATACTAAGAAGGTTTTGTTGTCATTGTGAAAGATTCCTCGACCTTGAGGCCACATCTTGTTGATGCCTGCAGACTCCAAGAAGCGGTCACCCTTCTTGAACAGGAAGTGGTCCTCCACAAGCTTCTTCCTGGTTTCTTCACTCATTCCAGTCAGAGGGTAATATTTTCCTGCTAGATCTCCGGTTAGGGACGTTAGAACCTTTACGATCTGAAAAATGCAATAATAGATATACCATTGAAAAAGATGTGAAAGTACACTGAGGAGGATCACTGAGGCCTGAGCTGTCCACAATGATTAAGTTTTGCCAGGTTTGCTCCATAATTATTTGTCAGGTCTCCTAGTATGATGTGAATTTCAGCTTTGGTATCATCAGTCAATGCAAAGGCTTAGTGAACTTTGTCAGGTTGTCAGGTAGTCATACAGAAATCAGTCTGAAATTCAACAATTACCTTTGCATTCCATTTTTCCATTGACACGTTGCATATAGATATGACCCATAGGATTAAAGAGTTTCTCTTAAACATAGTTAGTCGCTATACAGTTAGCCGTTCGCTCCGACGAAGGGCTAACGCTCGAAACGTCAGCTTTTGTAATCGTTACGGTTGCCAATTTACCATTTCAACTTTGTTGATATATCCAAATTATTTCGTTACTCCCCCCGACGCAGCCCCAAACAGTTTCTTTCGAAACTATCAGCCTTTATTCAGCTATACAGTTACCTTCGATTCAATTTCCAGTCTCTCTTTGTTGCGAACACTGGGAGGCAAACCGTGGCCTTGGAGATTTCGTGCTACTCTGATGCGCGTCGATCTAATGAACCTGTGGTCAGGATCCAAATCTGGAGCCTCCACCTTGTCTGGGTCCATATCGGTGACATGCTTGTCTGAAAGTTTGTAAGGAGCATGGTACTCTTCGATGATGGGATCGAAAAGTTTTCCAAAAAGGGTATATGCTTCCTGTTCTGAAGCATAAATACCATTAGAAGAGTCAAGTTGCTCCACACCAGAGAGGATTTGAGTCCAAAGGGTAGAGCCTCGAGCTGTCTTCTTGTCCTTTAGTTCATTAAATGTGTCTTCAGTAAGATACTTCTTCAACAGAGACTTTACCTCGGGCTTGTTGAGAGCTTCTGGGAACTTGGCTTCCTTTTCACTAAAAAAGCAGAAGGAACTTGCTTGGATTTCCCGTGGCATTTTTAGTCTTTCTTTAATTTAACTTATTTTTTCAAGAAGATTTAACTCAGACAAAGTGTCTTTCACTCAGACGAATTATTATTATTGTTCCACTACGTGCAAACTCAAATCCAGTCCAACCTCATATTTCCCTAACTTTCTTACTAATTTGAGAGTTTTGAATAGCTTAGGCAGTGAAGCAAAGTTTCAAGCTAATGTACTTACGCAATAGCAGCTTTCTCGATCTCCAGCAGCCTTTTCACTCCCTCATACATGTCCTTAACGCACTGAACCTCGGACAGACCCAAGCGCCTGCGGTTACTGATGTCATAAACACCAACATCCGCTCCAGTGGACTCAGAATGTTCACCATGGATTCCACGAGGCTGAAAAATAAGTAAAAATTCTTTTAATACTCTCGGATTCACAAACATTATTTATTTTCATACTCCAGAAATGCGGTGTATGCGGAATTAATACTTTCTATCATTTCAATTCATTTTAGTTGAAATGTTTGTATCTCCGCCCTGACGAGATATATTGTGGCTAAGTGGAAGTAATGTAGTGCTACTTAAAACAAGAGGACAATGAATGCGAAATTGCCCCCTCTTTTACTTCCAACCTCCATGTTAGAAATTTGTAGTTAAGCTTCGTATATGGAAGTTTTCGGTCTAAAAAAATGTACTTCAAATTTAGAGAAGGTATAAAAGAAACATTTTATTTCAAAAAGGCTTCTGTTGATGTTTCATACCTGAATATGGTACTGATCACAGATCTTCTGAAAGTCTGGATGTATACTGGCGTGTGGGATCTTCACGTGTACACTAGCGCGCATTCCTGTACCCAAATTAGTGGGACACGAGGACAGATATCCATGCTGGTCAGTGTGCTGGAAACCCAACTGCTTGTCTATCTCATTGACAGCAAGACATAAGCGAGTAAGTACAGATTTGATGTCCCCACCCATCTCCATGCTGATTATACGAAGTTGATCCTCTTCGTTTACCCAAACTAAGAAGGTCTTGCTGTCATTATGGAAGATACCTCGTCCCTCAGGCCATTCCCTATTGACGCCAGCCGCCTCCAGGAAGCGGTCGCCTTTCTTGAACAAGAAATGGTCATTCACCAGCTGCTGGCGGGTCTCCTCGTCCATTCCTGACAGCGGATAGTACTTTCCAGAGAGATCACCGGTCAAAGACGTTAAGACGCCAACGACCTTCTTCTCGACCTCAAGTCGTTGTTCTTTGGATAAATTGGGTGTTAGTGGGTAGCCCTTGAGATTTCGGGCAACACGTATACGTGTAGACCGAATAAAAGAACCCTCAGGGTCTAAGTCTGGTGCATCCACATTATCTGGATTCATATCTGATTTATGGCCCTTTGCCAACTTGTAAGGGCTGTGGTACTCTTCAATAATGGGGTTTAGTAACGGCGCGAATAGCGTGAAGCTTTCCTCATCACCGGCGTAACAACCAGTAGAAGAGTCAAGATTCACCAAGCCAGAATTTATCAGATCGTGCAGGGTGAAACCGCCTTCGGTCTTTTTATCCTTCAAAGCTTTGTACACCTCTGGAGTGAGATGCTTCTTCATCAGCATTTTGGGGTTTGCATCAGGGCTTGAAAGCTGATTTGGCAAAGCCATGTCGTCGTCAGAAGATCTGGAAATAAAGCAAAAGAGTAGCCCTGAATCACCTTGCCTGATTTTGAGTTCATTATGATTTACAAGGGACATAATAATAATAATAATAATAATAATAATAATAATAATAAACAGTTTAACGTGGAGAAACACTTAGCTAGACGCTAGTTTACCGGTTATCCACGAAACAACTTAAACAAATAATTCAAATTGAAAATGACGTTGTTAAGAATCCCAACTGGCCGAAGGCAAACCAGTTGGGTATATTACAAGCATGGCCGAGGATCTGAAACTCGGGGCTACCGTGAAACAAATCCAAGTAGTAGCCAGGGCGGGACTCGAACCCAGGAGCGGCGGATTGCAAGTCCGACACGCTGACTACTCGACCATGCTGCCTTCATATTCTACTGCACTGCGCGTAGTGGAATGGATTTCAATCAGCGGGCTCTATGTGATAGACCGTGAAGTATTATTTGTTTGCATTGTGAAATGCAAATACGTGTAAAGCAAACTAAGCAGGTTAAGAAAATAATGAAATTTCTATTAATAAGGAAGACAGTTTGTGTCAACATGTTTCTTCTATGACGCTGACGTTTTCTCTGAATGTTCTCTCAGAGACGAACCTCTCTCGTATGGAAACAGAGGCGATTCTCGGCTAATTCTAGGTGGAGTGACCACAAAATGGCTGCTGGAAATCTATCAAATGATTCCATCTTGTGACATTTTACACCCTTTGTAGGCGAGACGGTAATTTATACATTGCTTTTAATGACAAGCATATAAATTTAAGATTTTTCATTTTATACATAATTTATTTCTCAATCGAAAATCTTCATATGATTGTTTTCTCCAAGCCACACTATCTTTTTGCTGAAGAAAATTATTTCTTTCGCCTCTATGATATTAACTCCAAAAGAAAACACTTTACTTATCTTTGCCCCTCTCAAATGGTTTAAAATAACCTTTCAAAGGACAAGTAGGACTATTTGGGATTTGCTTTGTTATACCTGACATAATTCGAGGTAAAACTAAAAAACATCTTCGAGGTTTTGAAATTGTCGTGGTCACAGTCGCATTTGAATAAAGTGGTGACAGAACGCCTTTTTTAAGTTGCCGAAAGCGAAAATTTATGTATCATGAGCCGTCCATGCGGTTGAACAACTATTTGAATTTTCGAAGAGCCTCCCGATCTTCCCGAAACTTGATAACTACTGAATAAGTCAGTCAATTCACGCACTGAACAAAACTTCCAGAGAAGCGATCCCAGAAGTGGAAATAACATCAGGATTATACCCTACACTAGTGTGCTATTACTTCAAATGTAGCCTATGCAAATTTCCGGCACATACTAGCGGAAATTTCTTTAGTGTAATGAGCCAGACGAAACATCGGTGGAATGACTCGACTGGAAGTCCGAAAAACAGTTTGACATATAGTTTATTCCCCTTACCGCTGAAAGCTTACTTTACGTCCTGATCGAGGAACAATAAATTGTAACTATAGGATAGTATTGAAAAGAAAGATGGAGGAGCGACGAAAAGTTTCGCCTGCTTTGAAGTAACAAGATTCGAGCAGCAGTAACAGAAAATCAACATTTCTATCTTGAACTCCTTCATAACTAAAAGCTTACCTAAGTAACTGCTTGAATAGTCAAAATCGTTGAAACTTCAACAGAAAAGGGCGATGAAGAGGCGACAATACAAGGTTGCACCTGCTTTACAGAGTGGCGGCAGCCGTATTACCAAATGTCCCTTGCGCAATTTGCATGCAACTTTTATCAGTGCGAGCAGACCTGGGTTGAGAACACTACTTTTGCTTAATTTCCGGTCCTGGTTACGCTAGTTTTGAACCAAGATTTTTATGATAGGCTTTCGGTTCAATGGTAGGCATTCAGTATTGTTTTTTTTCCACTTTTCTAAACTTCTTTAGATCTGGATTTCTCTCTTTGCTTGCTACCCAATCGCAAAAGATGTGGTATTCTTATATGGGGCATAACACTGGTAGCCTCAGGAAATAAATGAAATTTGGACTGTAACACAAGCAGGAACTCTTGCGTGACAAAAGAAACAGCTCAACATGTACATCAAAAACACAGTTTGCACTGTTGGCCTTTCACTGATCACTGTGACTGACAAACAGTTTAACAATGTATTCTGAAGTCAGTCTAAAAAATTCTATTGTTTGTAACAGAAGAATCACTGAGCAAAGCAGTCAACACAGCGTCTTGCAATGTAATAAATTTTATTAACGTCATCCCTTAAGTTTGTTTCAAACCGTAAAAGAATTGTCTAACGCTCATAGCTAACGCTCCTTTTAGACCTTTTATGCTGAGCTCAGGATGTTGACACTTCTAAATTACGTGAGGATGACTGCTGGTTACGGTTGTGAAATAACTAGCATTCAGAAATCTATTTTTGTAAATTTATCAAACACCTGGTAGATAAGGCTCGTCCAAAACCGGTTGGCAGAATTTGTAGGAGGCCTTGTCTGGGGATGAAGGCTTCAAGAACCAGAGTCTGCTCTAGTTGCACCAAAAGGATTTTCAGAAACAGCTTTAAACAACAGCAATGGTTAATATGGAGTGTTGACAAGCGTTTACACGCATGACCACTTGTTGAAAGATTTCTGGCCAATAGCCAATCATTTTTTTCGCTGTGCACTCTACATTACTAGACGGCTGCGCTAACATCACGTTATATTAACAACAGTCTTTTTTTTCACTTATCTTTTTCTAAGCGCGCGACGGACTTCGCCGCAACACAGGAGCAGATCGTGGTCTATTCTCTCCACGACTCTGAAAAAACACCACCTGTCTGAAATCAAAATGTATCCAGCGTTCTGCAAATGATAAAATTGTTTTGATAAAAATTCGAGACGAAGTTCGAGAAACCCTCTGCATGTAAGTTGTCAAGTTGTCAAGAGCCGGATCTAAAATCAAAACTTCGTTTACTATTAGTCAAATGTACCGAGTGAAATAATAATCGGCGATCGTTCAAAATCCCATACGTGTCTTCAAAGGTACGCAGTATTTCCTGTAAAACTTGTCCAAATTAACCCTAAAATCAACAATTACCTGCGCTTAGATTTTCGAAGAGTATTATAACTGCTAATCAACCATACATCAGTAACTTTAGAAGATAAATCTGTCTCTGTCTATGCTGTGTTTTTATCTGCACACAGTCTGGTATCCAAGCCAACGAGAATGACCTTAGCAACCAAATAGAAAGATCTCAAACATGGCTGACAAAATTATCTACAGAAAATTAAATGTGGCTTCTTACTTCATTGAAACCCAACAGCGAAATGCTTAACAATAATAACAGATTTATCAGTTGAAGTTTAGTAAGTTTGATTGCTGTTGGAGTCAAACAACACCTGTAGGTGCGCGTAAGTAACTACACAACCTCTAACGGCGAAGGCTTAGAAGGACGCTGTTTGTACCATTACTGCAGTAAAAATGATTAAATGTCCAATCATTACTGAAACAAGACCTGTAGAAAAAACGTTTCACCTTCCCAGCACTGCTATTAGCCAATTTTTGCGTTTTGCGATTTGCGACACATTGTAATCCCGGTATGGATATCAATATATTTTTTTAAAGATTGCAAAGCAGGACGAAGAAGTGTGCGTTTCACCAATGTACTCGTACTCGCAGCTACACAAATGGCTTATTATAAAAATTAATTCGTACTTGTAGTTTTGGCTCTTTTGAGAGTACAGAAAACATGAAGAGAAAAAGGCCGACTCAATATAACGCAAGCACCACGAGTAAACAGTACGTTTTTCAGCCTTAAAATGGTTCTGGCTGATTTGCGACTTACAAATCCGTGAACTTGTAGTTATTCCTTTTTCTTCACCGTGTGGTTATCGTGTAGAGAACGAACCTGACATGAGGAAACCCTTTTGGATACGAGTACATAAAGTAACGCGAACTCGCTCAAATGTGTACACAACAGCAACACAACAACTTACTGTTGAGCAGTTTGTGGCTCCTGATTTTCCGGTATTTGATTTTGAGATTCAGCCGAAGCAGCAGGAACAGTATTCTCTGGTTGGCTAGTTTGTTGGGTTTGTTGGGTTTGCTGATTGACCTGTGCAGGTGTCTTCGATTTCGAAGGAAAAAGCCCCATAACGATTTTAAAAAATGACGCTATAACTTAAATTAGCATATACTAGCGACTCTTATGACTCGTGTGCAATCCCAACGCGGTCAAATTTCTTGGCAAGACAATTATCCCTATGTATACTTGTCATTCTTTCCTTTGTTTAGAAGAGAAAGCTAATTTAATTAAACAGCTCCAGGAAATTTATTTCCTACATGCAGGGAGATGGTGTTCAATGTGCAATAAAGAGTTGTGAAGAATCTTGTGGGTCATCCAAACTGGTCAAAATTGGTGAGATTTGATTTTAACAGTCACGCATTCTTTGTGTCCGAAAAAGGAAAGTAATTTGTGTCAAAATAGGTACTGACGATATGCATGTTGACATGTTCAAGAAAAGATGCTTCGCACGAGTGGTTTTAATCAAAAGGGCTTTTTATGATAATTGCGCTGTTTTCTCTAAACTTACCCCAAAAAACAATAGCAACACAGTCGTCCATCAAGCTGTAGATGCGAGGAGATAACATATTCACGGATTTAATTTTATTTTGAGCATGTCTATCAACGAAGTAAACAAACAGAATATATCAGTGTAAACGTTTCGTCTTTAGAAAACGAGGACGTTGCACTAGCATGCTTTGCGCCCTTTATTGTTCCTCGGCGTCCGTTTCGCGAAGCGACCTTCCCACCATTTTTACTTGGGTTTAAGGGAAAAACATCTTCGACTAGAACTGGTTTATTGGTTACCGTTTCAAAGTTTTGGAAAACTTAAACCTTTTGTATTTTTTTGTTAGAACAGTGGGATATTTTGACCGCAAAGAATGACCATAATCGTTTCACGAAGATATGTTGCACGGATCGTTGAGTCAATTGTCGTTTATTCAAAATGTTTTGATGCCTTACCGTTTGGCTGAATTTTCGAAACCCTTCGAGACCTTGAGATGAGACTCATCTTTAGGCAAATCTCGGTCATTGAACGTTTTCAATATCTTTGGGACTCTTAGCTAGGTCTCCATTTGAAATATATCGCTATTGAATTTGAGAGGACGCCTGCGGCCAAAAGTAATTTCGTAAAAAGATGTTTCAAACGCTTATAACGATCCATGAAGGCGGAAAAATACCAGAAATGAGTCCATTAACATTTCATTTCACTTTACTGAAATACTCAGACCGAGATGTAATTTAGATAATGAAATTTTCGAAGCGAAGGCCAACATCGATCATTTGCATGTGTCGGGAGCCTTTGAAGAACGAGGCATTAAACAATAGAAGCCATTGTTACTCCTGGCTGGATAGACCGCAATTTAACTTTGATCTCTCTGTTGTGTGACTTTCGGGCTTGTGTTCACATATTTTACGTCCAGCAGCTGAAGATAAAAGGCTGCCCAAAACATTAGATCGACTACTGGCCAAAGCTGCCTTTGAACTGGTGATTTTTAAGATAGCAATGTTTACTGTTCAGAAATTCAAATTTTCAAAAGAGAGGTTTCTAATTTTTTGTGGCTGGTTATTGTGTTCTGTGTGTGAATGCCTTATATTGCTTATTTTTATTTAGAAAATATCACATTTTATAGCATTAGACGTGCTGTGATTGATCTTACAATGCAAAATCCTAAAAATTGAATTTAGATGTCTTTCTCGGTTCTGTCCTCGTGTACCGGTTCACAAGAGCCAATACAAAAGACCAAACAATACACAATAGCTAACCGATGACTCCTAAACAAAGAAAGAACAATGGTAATTTCCTTGTGAACCGGTACACCAGGACAGAACCTCTTTCTCAGTTAAACAAAGCAAACTAACTAAAGCTCATGAACTGTTGTTGGCTCAACAGTGAGACAAAGGGTGACAAAACTTTTTGAGGGAGAAGTTAATAGACATCAGAGGATGCTGAGGAGGGGTAGGGACTCACATTTAAGAGCTCTCACAGCTGGGAGTCTCACAGCTGCTAGAAGGAAGAGTTGGGAAATGTTGACACTGACATTTTCAAGAGGGAGGAGTGCCTCACAGGAAAACGGTTAGTTGCTGTGGCAATGAAGGCATTGCGGACATGTTTTTATTCGAGGAGGATATCTTTGAAATTCTGTTGGACAGGTTACAATCCTGAAGTTGTAGTTTTATTCCAGAGTTTATCGATTAGCTTATTAGAAAGCTGTCCTCTTCTGACCGAGAGAAGCTTTTTGATGAATTGTTTCTGACTCCAGCTGCTGAAAGAAAGTGGAATTACAAGCAACTCCTTGTTGTTTGTGAGCTGTTCAATCAATGCATTGAAACTCCTTTATGACAGTATGAAAGCAAATTTGACTACAAAATGGAGCAAATGTCTGTAGGTAGCTAATGGGAAACCAAAACTCAATAATATCCACTGGATGTCATTTGGCCAGATAGAATATCAGATCGAATCATTCAAATATTAATCAGGTAATTTTTCTGTGCTATATTATTTTACAGATCCTGGCTTGGGAAGGTTTTAATTAAATTATTATTATAATTACTTTATGTGCTGTAATACTTGCATTGCTATTCATTTGCACACTTTTGAACAGCTTTTTTCTTGTAAAAGATCATGTTGTTTTGATAGTTACATGTACAGTAAGTTTCTTAAATGCACTGATTTTGTGGGATTTCACTTTAATATCAAATAGATAAGATTTCCCTGAGACTACAAGCTGTGGTTTGAAACCACGAATGCAGAGTTCCCTGTAGATTGTAGGAACCAAAAAAGAGGATGTTGGTGAGTCACAAGAGGTACAGTTCAACTAAAATTCTATGCTTATGATCAATTCATTTATTTATGCAATTGATTTATCTAAATTTCTATCTGTTCAACCTCCTTTTGTCTTTCTTTCATAAGGCCAGTGAATTGCATACCTGTAAGGGGGATTTCTCTAGTGAAACACTGTTAGAGATGACAACAAATATTGAGAGTCAAAAACAATGCAGAGAGCACAATGGAGAGAGTGGGTACCTGAAAGTCATCCCAGGGCTGGTGGAACTGATGACCAAGAGACCTTTTTCAGTATTGCCAACTGCTAGCTGGAACTGACCTTCTCTCTTAAGTAGTTTCAAAGAAAAGTGGCCACAACTGGTCAGGTAAAGAAGCTTTCACATTACCCTAGGTTTTGGACACAGTGCACAGCATTCCATTTTGATGCTGTTTCTGCATGATGCTTTGCATGTGGGATGGCCAAAGAATTAAGAAACTAGAACCAGTAGAATCAACACAAGTGAAAAGGGAAATTCAAGGTCTGAACCACTGAAAAATGTTACAAAACCCTCACAATAATTAATCACACATTTCAATATTTGACAAAATCCATCAAATCTTTAAAATAATTTGAACTTGAACTTGAACTTTATTTTTACCTAGACACGGCAAATCTATCAGGTAAAATAATATTATTACAATCTATTATTACAATTCCATTCTACTTTAATCTATGTAAACATGATCAAAATTTAAAAGTGAAAAGAAAAAATAAAGAAATTCTGCTTTACATAGATTCCGTGTGCGTTTTGTCGACTCAGACAATGAAAGCGCGACAACCATTTCTAAAAGAGTGAAGTGAAGTGAAGTGATTTTGCTTGCCGCAATCCAGGGGATAAGCTATTCCAGTTAACCGCACCGTTATAGCTAAAGCTATTTTTCAGGAAATTGGTGCGAGGCAATGGAACAGCTAGTTTGTTTTCAGAGTTCCTTAGATTATAAGGAGGATCATATTTAGTGAAAAGAGAACCAAGATAGTCGGGCGCAAGACCATGTATAGATTTATAGACCATGGTGGCCACTTGTATTTGTCGCTGAGTATCTAACCGTCTCCAGTTAAGTTGCACAAAAAGAGGATCAGCGCTTGTGTCATAACTGGAGAAGGTCAGAATACGGGCAGCCCGGTTTTGCAACTTTTGGAGCTTATTCGAAAGACCCTTGTTACAATGCCCCCAGACCTCGCTGCAGTAATTAAAGTACGGTTGAACTAAGACATTGAAAACGGACTCAAGCGTGGTTCGATTAACAAAAGGCCTACAACGTTTAATTGCTCCAATGCCCGATGCGATTTTCTTGGCTATTTTTTCAATGTGCATATTCCATGAAAGGTTTTCGTCTAGATCGGANGATCTCAAATTCCATTCTCCGAGTGGCTACCAGGTGAGCCTGATGGAGAGGAAGGACAGAGCTGTATCGTGCAAGCCAAAGGGGAATACGGATCTGGATGGGCCGACCGACAATGTTCCGACAGAAAGGCTTTTGTCTGTGAGGTACCCGCGCCTGGTAAGAAATAATGATGATACAAAGCTAGAAGCTTATCTTTGAGCCATTCTCTTATCAAAGACCAATGCGTAGTTTTGGGTGTAAAGCTTTGAGTAACATGGTACCGACGGCACTTTATGCTTAGACCTTCATGTCCAAAAAACGCTGAGAAGTTTTCGTTGAACGTAGAATTGTTACGCAATAACTATGGGACCTCTTAAGTCTCTGGGTACACCAATTAGAAGATCACGACTCACAACAACCTTAAACCACTATTCGCCTCACTAAAATACGTTTAACAAAGTAAGTATGTCTTATTAGACGTTTTGTTGTGTAGTATCGCTGAGTATTTTTACGAGTTGTGCCGTATTTTGACGAGCCCGTAGGGCGAGTCAAAATACAAATAACGAGTAAAAATACTCAGCGATACTACACAACAAAACGTCTAATAAGTTATTTATTATCCAACACGCCAAACTGTTATTTCAGTGCGGGCGAATTTCGCGGATATTTATTTACGGGGAGTGCGTGACAGAAGTATGCGAAGCGGAACGGAATTGACGCGTTGTTGTGTTGCTGTTTCTATTTTCTTCATTAAATGAAGAAATTTTCTAGTCGTCAAGCTGTTTTTCTTCGTTCGATTCATCTAATGAACTTGGATCTAAATTTGCCAGCCATTCTGACTCTTCGTCGTCGGAAATATGATTCAAATTGTCCTCCATTTGTTTTGTTTTTTCATCACTACAATCCAATTCTTCGCTTGCGCGATGCGAGAAAACCTGTTTAACCGGTACTCTACAATAGACGAGTACAAATACCGCGTGATATATGAACTCGTCTATAGCGTTATTTGTACTCGTCTAGGTGTAGTTGGATAATAACACGCCTTCTTCCTTGCTTTGAATTAAATAACTTAGGTTCCAGCAGAATTTCAGCCGTGTCGCATCGCAAAGACGAGTATCCACGCGTAAAGCACAAACTAAAAAGTAAGCCCTTCCCATAATCATTATACAAAGATCTAGCAGGGGACTTTTAGTCTTCTGCGGCATATGATCTGTTCCTGCTCCCAGTGATATTCAGTAAAATATAAATTTTGACGCGCGAGTGACGTCATGATACAGATCTGTGTGAGAAGAGATTTAGACGAGAAAGCAGATCCTTTTCTCGTCGGTCTCCTTCAGTGCACACGCCGGTGCGGTTTTAACAACTTCCCTCTCCTGGTTGTTAGTCCATTGCAGGGCTATACCTCCGCCTCGAGCATTTCATCAGGCTTTTAATACTGTGGCCTTTAATGGGGCAGTGTTCATAACAGTGCACACTACGCTGACTTCAATGATTTGACATTGCAATGTAGTCCAATGTACCTTTGAAGCAGATCATTTTAAGAAAATAACGAGCGGAAAACAAGCCGGAAACATAATGATGTCAGTTGATCGGAAAATGGCATATGGTCGCAGCTCATGATATTCAAACTATATGATTCTTTGATCGGCCACAAAAGTGGGTAACTAGTTGTGTGCAAGATGCGAGCAGATATGTTGTGAGAAGGATTCCAGAAAATTGAATTTGCAAGTGACCTATGACCCACAGGAGCTGATAGGCACGATTTCATTCACAATCAGCTATAACAAAGCGACGGAACCGGTGCGTTGAGAAAATTTGACATCGAATTCCTCGAGAATTAAATCAAAGTGAGACAGTTGTAGGAGTGTTCACCATGACTACTTATATCTTATCAAACCGTCACGTGGCAAGACCGCAAAAGAACACGCGCGAAAAAAAAAGAAACAAAAACAGACACGCTCTCGCGCGCTGACGTTCACTCACAAGCGCCCGGTGACGACGCGAGTTATGCAAGTTTTATTACAAGTGATAGACAGAATCTCTTCATCTTTCCTAAAACTAAGTATATGAGCATTGATTTAACTCAATGGAACTGAAAACTACGAATACTACATGAACATTTTGTTTTAGTCCCATTGACCTTTCCTGTTAAGTACACGGGCTTAATCCATAGAGGAGTCACTCACGAAGGAATCTGGATAGGTATGTTTTTAGGACTTATTATTTCCTGTTAGTGATTGAAGCGGAAATCCCTTCAAATGTCTGGTCTATGTTGCAGTACGAAATACTTTTTTCTGATCGTGAAGTAGGACATAAGTTTGAGGACATTGGAGGCATGACCTACATTGTACCTTCTCTTATCAGCTGAGGAGGAACAAGTAACGTTCTCGTAAAATCTGCTTTTTCCTATAATTCCCTAGATACGCCACTTCTTTTCTCTTCTAGACTGTTAAAAAGGGCGTACTTATAACCCACCTTACTCCGCTTCACTCCTGTTACTTGTCTGCTCAGCGTGAACTGACAAAAGCGATCTGAAATATTCAGTTCTCGATTGCTCTTTTATTATTCTGGCGCAAGACCAATCATTGCCTCGTAACTTCTTCCATGAAACTCTGTTGTTTGGGCTGCATAAGAACTATTGAACTGACCTTAAAGTAGGTGATTTAAGTGTTTGTTATTCAACAATAGAAAGCTTGGCAGCTCCTGATAATTACCACGTCGGTGAAATTTTGGCAAAGCTGACGACAGATCATAAATAGTGGCGACCCCTGCATGTGATCCTGCATTTTACGCGCTATGCGAATCCTTTCAGCAATGCATGATGGCGATTGTTTGATGAGGCATGTATTGCTGTTCGCTGCACAAGTGCGATCATGTGGAGTTCTGGGCAAAAAAGACACCTCGACAACCCATTGCTGTTTTTACTAATGCGCCTTTATCTTATCTGTCTAAGTGGTTTGAATTTTATTTTAACAAACACCTCAGCTGAAACTTGGCGCTACTTGAATTATCTCGTGAAGGCCCCGAGATTAACGTATGGTAGGGTGGGGATTAGAATGTCTCACACCCCACTACCCTCATCAGTAGTATCACGATAAGTAACTGTGAACTTATATTAGGTTTCAATCTACCCCAAGACACCCTCGCATAGAGAAGTTCCTGATAACTGCGTTATGTTTCGTTCGAAATCCTCCATCCGCAAACAAAATACGAACAAAACAAAACATTCCACTTAGAGTAAACTTGTGATATCAATACAATTTAGCGTCTCCACTGAGAGGTGAGCGTGATGTACCTCAAAAAAGGTAATTCAAGCTGAAAATATATATATCTTATTAGACGTTTTGTTGTGTAGTATCGCTGAGTATTTTTACGAGCTGTGCCGTATTTTGACGAGCCCGAAGGGCGAGTCAAAATACAAATAACGAGTAAAAATACTCAGCGATACTACACAACAAAACGTCTAATAAGTTATTTATTATCCAACACGCCAAACTGTTATTTCAGTGCAGGCGAATTTCGCGGATATTTATTTACGGGGAGTGCGTGACAGAAGTATGCGAAGCGGAACGGAATTGACGCGTTGTTGTGTTGCTGTTTCTATTTTCTTCATTAAATGAAGAAATTTTCTAGTCGTCAAGCTGTTTTTCTTCGTTCGATTCATTTAATGAACTTGGATCTAAATTTGCCAGCCATTCTGACTCTTCGTCGTCGGAAATATGATTCAAATTGTCCTCCATTTGTTTTGTTTTTTCATCACTACAATCCAATTCTTCGCTTGCGCGATGCGAGAAAACCTGTTTAACCGGTACTCTACAATAGACGAGTACAAATACCGCGTGATATATGAACTCGTCTATAGCGTTATTTGTACTCGTCTAGGTGTAGTTGGATAATAACACGCCTTCTTCCTTGCTTTGAATTAAATAACTTAGGTTCCAGCAGAATTTCAGCCGTGTCGCATCGCAAAGACGAGTATCCACGCGTAAAGCACAAACTAAAAAGTAAGCCCTTCCCATAATCATTATACAAAGATCTAGCAGGGGACTTTTAGTCTTCTGCGGCATATGATCTGTTCCTGCTCCCAGTGATATTCAGTAAAATATAAATTTTGACGCGCGAGTGACGTCATGATACAGATCTGTGTGAGAAGAGATTTAGACGAGAAAGCAGATCCTTTTCTCGTCGGTCTCCTTCAGTGCACACGCCGGTGCGGTTTTAACAACTTCCCTCTCCTGGTTGTTAGTCCATTGCAGGGCTATACCTCCGCCTCGAGCATTTCATCAGGCTTTCTGGAACAATTAACCGCCTTCTTAACCAATCAGATGCAAAGGCTAAATTAATTGCGCATTGGTCACCACGCATGCGCGCGTTTTCCGCGCTTGAAGACGGTTAGATGAGTTTATTTGAGGTTTCATTGGCTTCTTCTGATTTCTACATTTGTTAAGATTGAAAATGGCGTTTATTTTGTGTTTTGTTTTACGACAATTGATCCAAAAGTGCTTATATAAAGGACGATTTTGATTGATTGCAATAATATATCATTTCAACTGGTTTAAGTTAACCGGCGAAACCGGTATGAACTCGTGACCTTTCTTTAAAATTTATTTTGACCAACTGCCAAATTGGTTAACTATGTAAGACCCCAAACGATCCCTGGAGCTATTTTCAGTTTTAATTGTAGTAGAGAAAATCAACATGTGAACAGGTAAACGATCATATGACTCACCAAATGAAATTGCGAAACTATCAATGTTTTTTAATCATATGTGCAGATGTGAAGTGTTAATCTTGATCCCAACCAGCTAGAAGTGTCATTGTAGATTACGCAGCAACAACGTTCTGTACCATTGTGGAGGAACGTTTTTCAGAAACTCTCAAACAGCGTTGGTAAGACTTGAAAGGTGTCACGTAGTAAGCTTTTCTTATTGCTATCAGGTATACTAAAGAGATGGTTTTTTTTTAATCTGGGAAAACTGGTTATTGTATTTTATTTGGATTCCCTTTATCATACTAAAAGCTTTCCAAATCAAAACACTTCATTAAAGAAACATCTCTTAGACCACAGATCGAATTCAGTCTATCTTCACATGTCTGGAGTGTAAGAAAGAAAATTTGAACAAAGGTATAGGTGGTCTGTTTTAGGCCAGAAAATAACTCTATCGATAAGTTCTTTCAGTGAAATCTGTCCTTGTTTGAATGCGGCGATTTTTGGGTAAAGTTTAGTTTCGCGTCACATTTTTATCCCCTTTTTTTATCATATTTCGTGACTTTTGTGTCAAAAACGGACTAAACGGTTGTTTAGTTTTTGGAACAATTATTTTTGTTCTTTATCAAAAAAACTTCTGACCAGATGTTTAATGAGTAATGTAGGACTTCACAAACTGCCTTTACAATGAGATTCTGCAAGTTCAATTAAAGTTTTAATAAAAAAAAGCAGACTTCCCTTCTCAGCAACTTATTTGGCAGGTGATATTATCGTTGCGAAAATCGGGAACGAACTTCCAATTACTTTTAGGTTTGTTTTGTTCCTTTTTTTTTGTTTGTTATTCTGTTACTTTTTTTTCTTCCCCTCTAAGAGGTTATGGGCAACAACGTTACACTTTTCAATACAGAGTCGGTTTTAAATTAACAACAGTATCAATTCTTTTTACAGATCGACGCTAGCTGCATGGCGCCCATCTTAATGATGATATCCCTTCTGAGTAATTTAGGTAATTCCAACGTGAAAATTAAAACTACTCCAAGCCCTCCTATTGGGGCAAATGGGTGTAAAACAATCCAAGAATACAATAGGCGGTAAAGATATCCAAAATCAACAGGAACTTTATTTCTTCTTGCGCAAATTGCAGACAAACCAATGAAAGGTAATGGCAAAGATCCAAAAGCCAGTAGTAAAAATCAATAAGACGAATACCAACATCAATTACCGATAGATGAGGACACGATGGAATTGAGTCCGGTAAAGTGTAGGCGGTTCTCCTCTCAAACGTATGCCCCGAGCAGAAAAATTGCTTGACCTAATTTTTTTGATGGCCTATCTTGGAATAAACTTGGCATATTGCAGTGAAATAAGTCAAGTTCATTTGAACATTAGGAACGCGTTTCAGAACAAAATGTCTTTTTCTCCGTCCCTTACCAAAAAGTGGAGATTATCTAGTTCTACCACTCTGAATAAGTAAAAGTATCTAATGAGTTTTTTTGAGTTGCCTCTAAATAGGGAATCTGGATGCTTTGTCCTGGCCTGCGGATTATTCACTCGGTAAGACGCGATTAAACAGTTTAATTTGAATAGGATAGAAAGGATTTTTAAAGAGAAAGGATTGTCGCATACTCACCCCTTCCCCCCTTGAACTAACTGATTATAGTTTGACTCATTAGCATGTGAATGAAGCGTGTTTTACTTTTACATTCGACTTTAAAGATACTGAGGTCTCATGCAAGGGTAGAAGTAAAAACAAGCAGCTCTCCAGAAGGTGAAGTAAGGGAACTGAGAAGGAAAACAATGGCTCATCCAGTAAAAAAATCTAGAAAAAGAAGAAACCTGAAATCAGACAATGATTTTAATTGTGGACTACCTTTAAGATAGATTCGCCAGCTGACAAATTTTTCTCTTGTGAATAATGCTGTCCAATCCTTTCGTGTCATAGAGTGCCCCTCCGGTTGTCTTTGCTCAAAGGCTTCGCCAGACCTCACCTTTCTGAAAACTGATTGCTCAAAGAAAAATTACTGGCTCGTTCCTTTGGGTGTGTCAAAAGATAGTACCCATGTGTAAGTACCAATAAATCAAAAAAGCTAGGGAACATGAATTTTCAATTGTAAATGTGCGTGTTAATAAGCTGAAATCACCACTACAGGTGTAAATAAAGCGGTAATTAACTAGAGGCATAGTGCTACAGCTCCAGAATATTATAGCATTGGTTGAAGAAATTAAACACGGCGATAGGTTCAAGTAAACTGTTTGAACTTTCTGAAAATCTAAAAATGCTTCATTTAAATACCTGACAGGGATTTGTCAGACAACAAAATTGTGAGCCTGACGAGGAAATTCCTGGCAACTATTAGAAAAGTAAAAATCCTGTAAGTATGTTTAAGGCTTGTTTATTGTCGGAAAAATAATGACGAATACGTTCCCTCAACCGGTACAGTCATTCACAATTCAAGAAACGTGGAGGGAAATTTCTCAGTTGGTTTCCAGGTTCCTCCTCTAGTTTACATACCTTCACGATGTTCTTGATTAATTATAAGAACAAGTGGTATATTTATTCCCTGTGGAGTACTATAGTTCCACAAGGTTATTTCACATGTAAAGTGAAGTTCAATCAGTAAAATTGGGAAGTGCTTTATATATAAATTAGTAACGACTTTCAATTGAAATCTACGGCAGTTTTCTTCAAGTGTTGCGTGAAGCCCGCCACGGGCATAATTATTCTCAATATAACGCTTTATTGATATTATGTATTTCATTAGAAACTTTGCTAGGAACAACATTGATTACCTTCCCAAAGGATTGCTGAGCGATTTGATGGGTTTGGAAGTCTTGTAAGTGGAACACGAGCCAACACATTACTGCATTCTACTATAACATCTAATCCATAACATAATCTATAACATCTATAACATAATCTATAACATAATCTATAACATCTATAACATATATAACATAATCTATAACATAATCTATAACATAATCTATAACATCTATCCATTGAGCTAACCGCCTCCTGTTTAGCTCAATGGAGAGAGGGCTGAACTGTTGTGCGGGAGGTCGAGGGTTCGAGCCCCAGCCGGACCAACACTCAGGGTCTTAAAATAATTGAGAAAAATATGCTCCCTTTCTATAACATCAAGAAATGGTTAGATATTCTAGTCTTCTCGGATAGGGACGAATAAATGGAGGTCCCGTCTCCTGCAGGGTTAGGGGCAGGAGACGTTAAATTTCCCACGCACTAAATTACTGTGTGATGGATGTCTTCCCCAGGGGTGGGATGGGTGGTTAACAGGACCCCCGTTGATACCAGTGTTTACTACGCTGAAGAGGCTATCCTGTATAAATATAGATGTCTACTAGATGTCTACTATGTCTAGATGAGAACCTTGAGAATAACAATTTTCTATGACTGAAAAAAGCAAAGTAGGTAAGCGAAATAGCCGATTATCTCTAAAGATGGTCAAGAATTACGAAGACCGGACAGGCAGTTATGTATCTAGTAAAGTTGTTTTACTAGGATTTTAGAGCTGTTAAATAATCTAACGTTACAATACACTAAATAATTTTTGTCTATATTTTACTTATTTGGCTTGATTTTCTTCTGTTTCTTCTCTTTTTCTTCTGTTTTTTTTTCTTCATTGGTATGAGGGATCTGTCTGGTAACCACATCAGTTACATTACGGAAGGAATTTTCAATGGAATTCCCAACATTTCGACACTGTGAGAAGAATTTACTATTCCTTTTTCATTTATTGTGGAACTTCTTTGTGCGCTTTAGTATTGTTAGCCTTACATACAGTGAGGACGTAGGCGGAAGGAATAATGTTTCATTATTTACCTAACCTGTGAATTATTATCCTTCGCGAAAAAAGCCAAATTCGAAAATTAACAAGATGTGTTTCCAATCCGATTCTCTCCATGCATAACGGATTAATTCCATATTTGGGAGAAAATCAATTTGACTGTTGATTGTTTCTTCCTTCAAATTCCAGGTACCTTGGTGAGAACAGGATTTCAAGCCTCGAGAGTGGAAGTTTTCAAGGAATCCCAAGACTGGAACACTTGTGAGAAAATGACTTTTCTAATGAATCAGATGGTTACTTTTCATAAAAACAGGAGGAAAGATAAATTCGACACGTTAGACTAATAAATTAAGCTTAGGAACCGAGTCTGAAATACCGGTAACGTAACTGCGAAGTTGTTGCTGGGTAATACTCCAAACTTTGCATCAATGCTTTTCAATTTTTTTAATGATTGAAACAACAAACCTGCAAAACTGTATGCAATGTAATTCCTGCTATTTTCGTTCAAAAACTGCCTCTCCTAGCTCCATACTTAATAAAAATTTCTTTTTTTCTTTTTTCACAGGTGGTTACCCATCAACAATATTTGGGACCTGCCTCGCAACATACTTCACGGCCTTGTTAACTTGAAAGTGCTGTCTGTGTCATCCCATTTGATTTCCTACCCATTCTTTATTTACAGTTTCACGTGTTATTTATCAGTATCTTTAATGCTTTTGTATACTTATTTTGTTTAGCGGTTTAAGCATGAACAAGCTGACAAAAATACATGCTCATCTGCTAAAAGATGCACATAATCTGGAATTTTTGTGAGTGGAGTCTTTACTCAATGATATTTCATGCCGTTGAGACCCTGTGTATTGCAGAAACAATTTCGTATTATTTCTACCTTTTGCCTCGCGGAAGACTTTTAAAACTCCCAACCAAACCAAACACAACTGACTTGTCTTGCTCAATATTTAAGTTCATAATGTTTGGTAATTTAACACCATGTGATCACTGTATTTCCAAAATTCAAGGTTTCTACAACATAACGAGATAACAGGTATACCTGACAACCTTTTTCAAAATGCTTCCAGCCTCAAATATGTGTGAGTAAAAGTTGTTTTAAACTTCTTCAAAGCTTATCATCGACAACAGTCCTTTTTAGGACCCACCCTTCATGTTTTTTAACAAATAAATTATGATCACGCTCCTTGTAAGATGATGTATTTCCTGATTTACCGTCATAGGTTTCTTAACAATAATAACCTTACTGTGATTGGTCCGGGATCTTTCAGGGGAGCTTCAAATCTGAAAACGTTGTAAGTTTAACTACGACAGCCGTGAAAGTGTCGACAGGAGGCATGCCAATCGAAATGAAATCTTAAGATTTCAACCACAACAAAAAGATGCCTGAGAAAAGTTTCATTTTCTTTTCTTCTCTCTCACAAGGGCTCTTTCTAACAACCATAAGCTAGCAGATTTAGAGTCTGACTCTTTCAACTACGCTGATTTTGGTAACCTCTCCCTTCTGTGAGTAGTAATCACTTTGGCTTTTAACTAGCCTATCAGTCAGCCAGCTGTTAGTCAGCTCCAGTCCCTCCATTAGCTAAAAGGTCATCAGCCAGCTGTCATTAGCTAAAAGGTCATCAGTCAGTAAGTCAATCGATTAGATAGTAGACCAGTCAGTTATTTGGTCAGCCAGTCAATCAGCCAGTTAGTCATATATCCAACTGGGCAGTTTAAAGCCAGGCAGTAAGTAAGCCAATCAGATATTTTTTAATTATCTAAACCCTCTATCTTGATTCTCAGTTTTGTATAAGGCAAAGAAACAATTACTTCTAAGGTAAAGAAACAATTACTTCTAAGGCAAAGAAACAATTACTTCTAAGGCAAAGAAACAAGTACTTCTAAATGGTTTTAATGCCTCTCCAGTGTATCTGAGATGTTTTGGAAACGATTGAGATAATTGAGCTCCCCCCCCACACATCAACAATTTGATCTATTTCGCATGCTGTTGTTTAATCAATGTTCCTCTTCACTTTAAAGCTACGTTTTAGAGACAGCTCTTGTGCGAGTAAACATGAAAACTTTCACAAATCACGAGAAGGTCGGGCTGGTGATGTAAGTAAGATCGTATCTCAGTTGAACCGATGAGTTGTGGTAAACGTCCTCTGCTCCTGCAGAGTTCACTTTAAGTTTACGAGTAAAGAAAGAAATGTTCGTCTGGAACCGATTCTGCTTTGATATTAAGGCATAAATGCAGATTAGGCGATTCAATACATGTATATTTGCAAACAGCCATAATCTATTTGAGCTTTTAACAATCCATAAAATGTACACGGAAAATTCTCTCAATAACAGTGTATCAGTTGTTTGTGTTGCTATTCAGTGACCAGTTTTGCTCAGCTAGGTCTCACCGAACTTATATTAAATGATGTAAGGAACAGGATAACTTGGATATATCAACAAAGTTGAAGTGGTAAATTGGCCACCGTAACGATTACAAAAGCTGACGTTTCGAGCGTTAGCCCTTCGTCGGAGCGAATAGAGGAATTGTGGGTTGTGTGTGCTTTTAAAGGCAGAGAATGGAGCTACGTTACGGAACAGGATACAAAGTTCGTTTCCAAAAATTACTTTTTTAGAGTAGCATAAACCAAGATGTGATAAAAGAAGTACTTACTTATATTTTATGAATTTACTTTAAAAAAAAGTTAATGCTGAGTTCTTTCAATAAAGCTCTCCCGCCGAAAATGTGTTCCAGTTTCCAGCCCCATTAGACGAAAGATTTCGAGAAGGACTGGAACGCAATGGATTCACTTGTAACCAACACTTATGTACTCCTTGCGACTTTGGAACTTATCAAAAAGGAGCTAGCAACGGTTCCTATGTCTGCGAAAAGTGTCCTCCAGGTAATTCAAGTAGATCCCAAAATTGATCAGTTCATTAGGACGTTCAGACAGAAATATAGCCAAAAATCTGTTGGTTATAGTATATTTGATAACCGTTATCTTCATGACTACTCGTGTCACACCAAGAGAGGACTAATCATTCAGGACGCATTCCTAAGTCAAGTTCCGGAAAATCCCTTACAGGAGGACACAGAGATACCCAAGTTTCCATATGAGCGAAATGGCGACAGGACTGGGTATCCCTATGTTCTCCTAAATGAGATTCAAAGTTCTCACCTTAATCGCAAAGATGTTGAGAAAAGTGCATTCATTCTACATAGAAAAATTCAAGCAGCGTTCTACACTCCTTGAGTCGCGATAGTGATGGCCTATCAATTGTGACCATAGAGAGGGATCCAATCTCTTAGTGGACCTTCTCCTGGCAAAAACTGTCATTTTTAATTAAGAAGCATTTTACGTTTGAAACAGGTGGATTTTATCAGAATGCTGTTGGCCAATTCGGAACCATAGCAGGACGCACAGGATGTCTTCCCTGTCCCAAGGGTACCTACCTGGAGATAGATAAGTTCCCTGGGAAACGCCGGCAAATGTGCCGCGTTTGTCCTGCCGGTAAGCTCATTTTTCGGATAAAACAAGATTGAGTACTTCCTTCACCCGCTGGAAAGTGTAATCATAACTCTTTGTATGTCAGTCTAAAAGATCCAGCACTGAACGATTAGAGATCCTTCGTTCACCATTAAAAATATCAAGCCTTCTTAAGGATTTTCATTTACAGCGTCCTCTTCAACACTCCCATAACCACAACTCCTGTCCTTACCATTAAACTGCTACCTTTCCAGATTCCTAATATTCTCCATTAATACGTGCTCTGGAAAAATTCACCTTTATTTCATTTAGATCATCCATCAAATACCTTCAAAAGGTATGTAAATTCCTTGATCAATTCCCATTCTAAACTAGCCACTACCTTGATATACTAGGATCCAAGAGCGATGAGTGGGCGAGTTATCGAGGTTGTTTCTGTATTGACTCGTTTTACCGAAAAGGTCGCTTTACACAATGCGAAGCATGTCCTACGGACGTCAGAGGAATCCTGTGCAACGAGACAATATTGGTCAAGGAAGGGTATTGGTGGAGATTCAGAGATTATAACGAAAGCTGGGAATATCAAAGGTTTGTTGACACCTTGATGGTGCCCGGTGAACAATACAACCACAAAGATATCAATTTCACAGGAATCTTCCCCAGGCCATATCCATGTCCCACTGCTTCTTCGTGTTTAGGTTCCCTAAACTCTGTTAGGAAACCGTGTAATACTGGTTATGGTGGACCATTGTGCGAGGTAAGAAGCGAACTGAAAAGAACTCGTTATAAATGATGTGCGTTTTGCTTGATACTTTCATGCCTAAATTTTGGTTCGTCGTCAGTACCTTTGATCGGAACTTCTGTTTCTTTCGCTTGTGGTTCGTTAAACTTACTTTGGGTGTTCTCACTTTCATTCGGCAATTTCATCACAAACAAAGCGGTATAAAATCATAGAACGACATTGCTTTACCGATCTTTTGCTTCTTATTTCAGGTTTGCAACAAAGGCTATTATAAATCTTTGACTAGATGCACGAAATGCCCGAGTCTTCTCTGGCTTTTAGCACAGATGGCCGCCATCGCATTCGTCATTATCATCCTTATCTTTATTCTTGTTCGTGACGAGAGGGGAGCCAAGATCAAGGGACGAACACTATCTGATATTGTGCTAGCCCGTTTAAAGATCGTCATAGGCTTCTATCAGGTAGGTCAGATCACTGATATATTTATACATCGTACATTTATTTGCCGTCCCAGGAAAAGCTAGCGAGTGTACATCCACTGCCTTAGATAACGGGGCGATTGACAAATGATTATTGGCAATTCCATCGGGAAGGAACATGAAATAAAATAATAATACAAAGGACAATCAGTTAAGAGTTGCTTTACAGAGCATTTAGATAAAAAAAACTTGCAACTAAACATCAAATTTTCTTTGAGAACCATGGAGAAACGAATTAATTCAGAAAACCCAAATCTGAGTCTGAATTTAATTATTTGTAAGATATGTTCACCTGAGGTTGGCAGATCAACATCATCATGGGTAAACACCAAAAGAAAATTGTATTCGATTCAATCGACTCGACGTTTTTGTGGCTAATTACTAGCAAGAGATATACACCGGGAGATCATCGAGAAAGAAGTCGCTAAACCTCCCAGAGCCTATTTCAGACTAAAGGGGCTAAGCTCTTGTTCAGTTTCCGCACTGGCACCTGGCGAATACCCTCTAAGCTCGGACGCAATGCTGTTGAAGAAATTTTCAAACGTGAGCTTATTTCACGCACTTATTTAGGTTACAGCTGGTACTTTAGATGCGTTCTCGTACGTCCAGTGGCCTGAAGCTCTTCTACAACTCAACAACTATTTCAAGTTCGTCCAGTTTAACGTGGTCCAGATTGCTCCTTTCCTTTGTTTCAAAGACAGCTTAAAGATGAACGCCTACGTTGGTCTGTTGTTAATTATGTCAGTGAATGGAGGGATCATTGTATCAGCGTTTGTGTATTTTCAGAGCAGGAAACTATTTATCAGGTAAAGATTTCATTTCTCTGTTTGATACGTGTATTGTTAACCTTGAGCAATGTCATGTATATGCAGTATAAAACGTGACAATATATTCAATATTTTATCATCGCTATTATTTTTCATCATCAGTACATTGTAATAAATCAATAAATTGTTTTCTTGGGTTTGTCTGTACATTTAAAGGTCACAATGCACATCAAAATCAGAATAGAAGCGAGATGCAAATCAATTTAACCGTCAGCCACAACCCGAAAAAATGTGCCCTTGATTGTCAAAGGAATTATTCATTTACTTAGCTCTTCTAACACAGCGGAATATAACATATAGCTAGATGGGCTTTGGGAACCAATCAACTAAGGGTTGACCTTTTATGTTTTTTGTGTGTTAACTCAGACTCAAGAAGAACTTGTCTTCGGAGGAAAAGGAGGTAGAGATTTCGCTGAGCAAGGAACACTGCTATCGAACTGCCTTCCTGGTTATGTTTATTACATATCCGGAGGTTAGTTCAAGAATCCTGCGTATGCTTCCTCCTGCCTGTCATAAAATCTGCCAGGTATGAAATACAAGGAAAATTTCAATATATAGCGCCCTCTGATTGGTTAATCTGAATTAAAGCATTAAGCACTGACACACTTGAACGGCAAGGTTGCCTATTAAATGGAAATCGCGATCGCTTAACGGTTGCACAATCGTCTGGCGCAGCTGTTTTTGATGGATTCTCTCTCTTTGTACAGAATGTATTTCATGATAGTTTCTCAGTATATTTTCAAAAACTTTTTACTAATTTTGTTGAAACCTGATCTCTTAAATCACTCAATTTTAACTGCAATTGCCAAATGAGTTGTCTAAATGGGGCACTCAGGTATCGCTTTGACATTTTTAAAATCACTTGCAATATGCATCTTCCCAAGTGAACAGTGCTAGGTTCATGGAAAGGCGCGTCACCTTTTCAATCAATGAGGGGCTAAACCAAAACCAAACGCAGTATGGTCACGTGCGATATTCATGGTTCGGACCACTGGCTTGTTAATTTTTTTTTTTTAGCTTTACCCTGATTAGCTGTTATAACGCATTTACTTTTGGTTTCGCGGACCTCAATTGAAATTAAAGGGATTCCTCTTTATTTCGATCTGGCCAGATTACTGGTTAGTAAAGGTTTTTCGTGTGATTTATAGCTCCTATTGCTAAAACAGATTTTCAAAACACAACCACATTTTTTGGATAGGGCGCTATATAAATTTTCATTTATTTATTTATAACCAGTAAATTAATTTTATTTCTGCTTTAGGATGTGGCAATGAAAGATTGCACTTACTACCTAAAAATGGATTATAGTTTAAAATGTTTTGATAAGTCCTACCGTAAGTACGTGACTGTTGCCTACGTGGGAGCCGCATACCCTCTGCTTTTCCCTCTGTTCATTGTCTGCATTCTCTATCTGCTGTATTATCGACCTCAAGTCAAAAACCGCGATCAAAGTACTGAAACAAAGCGGGATCAAATCACAGAAGGCATGCGCTTCATCTATGAAAACTACGACAAGCGTTGCTGGTACTGGGAATTAGTGGAGATGGTGCGGAAGTTGATCCTTACTTCCGGTTTGGCCCTGATTGGCGCTGAGGGGCGGACCTATGTTGGAATGGTAGCAATGGCGTCAGGATTCTACGCTGTAGCGTATGCCCAGGCTCAGCCAATCCCCTATAAGTTTGAACACCTGTTGCAACTGGTGTCTCTTGTAGCCACTTTCTTCAGTTTGAGTGTTGGCGTATTGTTAAGGATTCCATCTGAAATGCTGAACTATTCTATCGAAAAAGACAAAGATTCTATTGGTATCACTGTATTGCTGGTGACGGCCAATTTGATGGTCATAGGATTGGTTGTCGGTAAGTTGTCAATTATTTCATAGCCTGCACCATGTTGTGGTCATGAGAGGTCTGCGAGTGAAGTAATCTCTCAGTACACGGCACAAATCTTTTCTTATGGTTGCGATAAGAAGGGTAGCAATAGCTCTGCCTGTGAGATAATTTGGGACAACATAACAATCTAACGATAATACGTGTCAGCAATCGATCATGATTAGAACTTTTCCGTTCACCCCACGAACGCCTCAAAAAGTACGATGTACTAACTGCGGGATCTTTTCACTGTTCAACCTCTTGAACATGGTAGAGCTACTCCCTATGGGTATAAAAGATGTAAAGTTATGCAGGTTAGCCCCGGGTATTTTTTCAGAAAATCCTCATAATGTACCTTAGGTACCCATTTATACTTCGGAATAGAAGGAATCAGTGAGAGTAATTAGTGTGCTGTCGATGAACACAACTCAGCCGGGAGCCGACCATTTTCATCTTGAGTCCACTCGGTTAGCGCTTCTTCTCTTAATTTTTCTATTTAGCGTTGTCCGAAAAATGGTGGATTTTTTGCTGTGTTATAATCATGATTGCTGATAAAATGATATCACAAGTGATCCTAAAGGGAGCCGACCACAACTGAAGGAGCGCTTTATCTTTTTACTCTATTTTCAGTGCGATATATTATATCTCTGGGACAAAGTCTGTATGGTGTCTGTAAGAACCCACAATGCAACTGGGAGTGCTGTTTGAGGGTGGTCCTATCAGCACAAAGTGCAAATACAGATGAGGAGGACATTGATAGTGGCGGACACAATCGTGTGGTGAGACAAGTTTAAGCAACGTAATATTTCTGTCTACTTGACAAGTGGCGTACTTTTTTATTGAAGTAAAAGAAAGGACTTGAATCGCAGAGATCCTCTGCCCCAGGACTGCTAAGTGTCATCAACATGGGCGGCATGACGTCACGTAAAAAGAATGTCTGCGTTGAGGTTTTTTTCTTTTTTTAATGCGTAAAATGTTTGGGATGGGAGTGGTAAAGCTTGCAGAAATTAAGCAATTTCTTGCTCGACTAGCATGCGGCTTGTCTATTTCGATTACTTTTCAAAAGCAGGATTTTACTTCTATATATAGGAGTCCACCATGAAAAGCATTTCAAGTAACATGGGAATGGGCGAGGACGGCGTTGAAAACTGGAATAGTGGAGGCAACGACAATGAAGCCACACAAAACGATTGGTGTTCCTTTCTCTCTCTGGAGGACGACAATAACGAGATAGAGTTTTCATGCGGGAGCCAAGCCAAACACGAAGATGAATCTCTAGAGGTCGAAATGGCAAGCTTAAAAGGCGACTCGAATATTCCTGAAGTGCAGTTCAAGAGAGGTTATACGGGAGTTTCCATTAATCACCCCGCAGCTGCCTCAAAGAAAGTGGTTACAGAAGTAAACAAAAGCCACGAACAATCGCTTGACCTGACTTATTCGGTTGTTACCAAGAAAAAACGCGAAGAGAAGGCAAAATAAGAAGTTATGATTCAAATCTGCAATAGTACCGTATACACCAGGGAAAAATTGAAGACCTCATTCTAGATAAGTGCTAAATTGTCAAAGGCATTGTCCTTATTCGTTGACTTTATAAAGCAGTCTTTTCATTGCAAACCTTAGAAGAGGCAATAATTTAGTATTAATTACACTTGTCTTTCATAAAGGGCCAGAAGATGAAGGGTTTTCATTTGTTTCGAGCTTCATCACATTTTACCTGCTCGTGTTTCTAAGGGATCAACCTGTAATCGTTATGTAAGTTTCTAATATAGCGATTCAGAAAACTGGTTGAACTAACTTTCTCGTAAGTTACCGTTTACGTTGTTATCAGAGATTACTGACCAATTATATCTTTATTTCAACATAACACAAGCTGCGCTTTAAGCGTTTACTACAGTTCTACAACGAGCTTGTAAAAGGAAAAGCATGTGTACAAAGAAACACCTGCTGCTTCATACCACTGAAGTGAAGGAACATCCTTCACACTCGGCACGACACGTTACTGAGCCCAGCCCCTCAATTTCTGCCGGCTGATTTTTGCATAGGGCCTGTAAGGTTAAGACTCGGTCTAAAGAGCTACAATATCTCATATAAACACCGCCCTTCAGACTGGACTCAGAATAGTACAAAGCGCAAACAGCGTTGGGATCTGTACACGTCTTTAATGTGGCTATTTCGTTGCAATGTTTTCCATCTTCACGACTGAAACAAGTAGGGCACTCGAGAGCTTCACCTTGAAGACAAGAAGAGGAAAAATCATCATGAACAGAAATTCATTGTTATCATTTTCAAATGCTAGCGCTGAAAATGATCAAAACGCACTACAATCGTAGAACATTTTCGAAGCTCGGAGGGGCTTGTATACTCAGCAGTTCGAGTAACAAATGTAAAAAGAAGTCTAGAGGGCACATACTATTTAAGGGAGGGATGGGAATGCTTAGAAAGAAGTAAACGAACACAAATGCAAACAATAGCAAAGTATGAAGAACAATAACGAGAGAGCTGTTCAACCGAATAGTCGGCGGAAGTATTAACTTGAGAAAAACCTTGAAAATCGAGCAGAAAGGTCTAAAGTCGTCAAAGAAAAACAAATAGACCTGCGAAATATCAAGTAAAAAGGGAGTGAGGAGGAAGAAGGAAGAGCACAAAAATGAGAGAGTCAAATGAGTGAGAAAAGAAAGAAAAAGGCAGTGAAGGATAAAATATAAAACAGTGTGGGATGAATGGGAAAAAACAAACTGTTAAGTGAAGTGAAACAAGAGGTATAATAAAAGCTATATTTCTTAACATTCCTTACCTAGACTTCCAAAAGCCAAAATAAAGACGACGAAAACTATCGATTTCAGCATGGTCTGATTCTACAAAGAGGATAAAAAAAGTGCCATGTGGTGATTTTAGAGCGAACAAATATCAGTCTCTCATCAAATCGTTATATCCGGTGACGTTGATAGATTTCGCGACCACTTTAGCACATACGAAATTCATCAAGACAGTAAAAATAAAAATATGCTCTGGAGAATCGAGGAAGAACGAAACAATGTCATATCGGTTACAAAAATTCGTTTAATTCAATTTCTTAATTTCTTTCCAAAAGGTCATAACTTTAAGGGAAAAATCAAACGTGGTGATTTGGCTTTCCTTATGCTCCTGGGCAATAGCCAAAAAATTTTTTTCAATCAGCACCGCGCAAATGTCGATTTTCTGTCTCTTTTTAAGCTCACTCTTTTTATAATCCTACTCACTTCAGACCTTTCGTTCCAGACCACAAAAGAAAAATTACCAGTCTTTAAGCAGTGAAATTCAAAATAAGACGGCTATTTTCCTAGACGTCAAGTCAACCACCTGACTTTGCACCTCCATGGTCAGGTTTTCGGGATCATGTGCAGTGCTGGAAGCTTGTAAACGACACTTTCGAGAAATGGACGTGGATTTTAAAACGGCCCTTCACAAATAAAAACCAACCTTTCAAGAGGCAAGGTCACATTTTCGATAAAAGGTCAAAAAATCGATCTTATTTCTCTGCTAGTTCTACAAAACGTTTGTGTTTTAGCTTAAAGATTCCCTTTGTTTCATACTGTAAAGAAAAATTTTAGTTTTCGTGCAGAGTCCCCTGTACTTACTACAAGCTTTTTCTAATCAACGCTCTCTTTTCATTGAAGATTATTTATTCATTAAATGGTAAACACAATTCTTCCCTATATTTCTCCAATACGCACACACAATAAACTTCACGACGCCCTACATTTACACATGCTGTTCTTTACTTTCTTCATTTTGAGAAGGAAACAAGTTCTTAAATTTCTACAAACGAGATTCGAATAGAAAATAACTGCACCATCTTAACGTTTTTCTCAAACTATCCTTTAGCGTATTTAGATGTAGACTTGTTTTTAAGCAAAGAAGAAGGTTTGCTTTTCTCGTCTCGTCTTCAAGATAGAATGCGAGCCAGGCTCGATCGAAGAACGTTCTAGACTGTATAATGGTCTGTGAGTTTACTTAACACCAATGAATTCCATCCCGCTGTTTGTATCGTCACTAGTGTCTCCTATCTTGAAGCAATTTCATTTCCAGGATTATGCAACTTTTAAAACTGTCCATTAAGCTCTATCGATATTGTCGTCGAATTTGTAAAGTAATCGATAACCTGGGGTTTTAAAGGCACCAAACGAACTGCTCAAAGAAACCGAACAATTACTATAGCCTTTGCCATTCATTTCGGTCGCAAAACATCCGCTTTGTGCATGGTTTAATTTTAACCATTTAGGCAAAGAAAAATTTTACTCTTGAAAGAAAAATAGGAACCCCGCAGTAATTTACATCTCTTCTGAATAGGAATTGATCACAAAATTAAAGCTTTAATTAGTAACAAAGCCGAGTTTCATGGAACTCAATTCAGTTGTAAGATTTGTGGAATTCAAACGCTCGTCTTATAAGCAAGACTAACTCTCCTTTAAAATATCTGATGTTATTGTTAATCAAAATTTGGCTAGTTATGCAAGCAAGATAGGTTTTGTCATTGCAGTTTTGAGGATTTAAGTCAACCGATCTGATGTTTCCTCTTAATTAAGCTCTGAGGTCAGATAGGCTCACATTAAATAATGCAGACTTCTTTCCAACCCACGCTTAATTAGAGTTTCATCATCGTTATATTTCATAGACTCAGTAAAAACATTAAATGAACCTGTCCCTTCCGCGGACAAAGTGCTGTAACTTGATCTTTCGATTCTGCTCCTGGAAACGTAACCCTTCCTCAAGGGAAATATCATTTTTCGAGTGTGTTTTTTGAAAGTCACTGATTGATTTTGGGCATTAAAAACATCCGTTTTAATCTCTTTAAAAATGACAACAACATAAACTTCTTCCAAAGCAACTGAGGTCGACAAGCAGATATCCAATGAGAATCGTCTTATAGCGCTAAATAACATAAACGTTTCTTTTCTTACTGAAAAAACTTTGCATGCAGAATTACAATTCATGGGACTTTTTCTCTCTTGACTTTTTACCATACTGATTCCCATTTTAACGGCAACGGAAATTTACGCAATGTATTGCACATGCTAGATCAACAGACAGAATTCTTTTGGTTCGTATTCGCACTATCATTGATAACACTCAAGCTATTCAATGCTTTTTCTAGATTGTTTGCCAAAAACCTAAACTAGAACAAAGTTCTGGCCGTGAAACTAATAACCTGTCATTTATCGTACTTTCGTTCAAAGCCGCTAATACGAACGACAAACAGCACGTACGTTTTCGCAAATAAAAACACCTTTTAAACTTTGAATGTTTAAAATGGATTTTGCCAATAACAGACCACATCCTGTTAATATCGGGGACCGTGTTTCATTTGACATCAAGATTCCCAGAGCAAACCTTGCGTTAGAAGAGGAAGTCAATTTTTTAATGTGAGGCACTTCGTATATCGGACCCTTCGACCTTGCTTGTGGGCAAATGTTATGATATTGGACCGGTAGATATAATATAGATATAAGTTAAAGAGCTGTTGCTTTCTGAGGTATATGGATTACGAAAAGCACGGTTGTGTAATAAATATCGAGGAAGCATAGACAATATCTCCCAGCTGTTTTAACACGTTGTGCTAAAATAGACTGTCATGACAAGGAGAAATAGAATAATATTTGCTTAAAAAGATCCTTTCTCATATCGAAGATTCTCGATTACATGATACGGTGGCTTAAAGTCTGAGAAAAAAATCGGCAATTTTCAAATCGACACCATAAAGTATTCAGGATTTCTAATGGAATTTTTTTACTGTTAAATTTCCTTCTTTATTTTTTTTTTTTGTGAAAAAAGTATTTATTTCAAATTTTATACCATTGGAATACGTCAATGAAATAACAAGGGAAATATAATCAATGAGATTTCGCGCGAGCATCAAAACTGTTTTTAATTTTTTCAATTTTCTGTCTTAGGAATATTTAAAAAAAACTCGTCATCTTCATTTTGGTCAGATTATTCCTACTTACTGCGAGAACTCAATTTTAAAGCTACAAATATTTCCGTAACGTAGTAAATCTTGAAATTCTTAGACAGCAAAGAAAAACTAACGAAAGAAAGAGTTTTTTTCCTTTTGGATTTAATAACGTTCACATACCTTTCTGAATACGTTTTCGTGTCTGTTGGTCAGAAGATGAGCTTAAGATCCCCGTTCGTTCCTCGGAAGAGTACAATTCATGAGGCAGGGCATGAATTTAAAGGCGCCTGCTAACTGCTTTGGATTGGTCCAAATAACAAACTGATAGCCATTCAGTGTCCATCTAGACAATTGCCTTTTTGGAGGTGTTATAAGACTAACGTATGAGCGCTGTCAATATTGCATAATTATTCTATTGTCTCCGTACCACAGCATCAAAAGAGAAAAAAATGACAAATGTTATGTTTCCTCTCAGATCCATTTTACTGTCAAGCGTTAAACGATTATTGGAGATGGTCGATGTAAAAAATGATCCCAAAATTGCCCAACCACCTCAGCTAGCAATAACAGCTTTAAATTAGAATTTAAAAGGCGTATGAAGAAAAAGTTTGGGGAATTAAAGTTTTATTTTGTGACAATTGTGATGTTGAAAATTTAACAACGACACATTGATGAAGTTGTGGCTTTGTGCGCAATCACCCTAGAAAGCGTCGAAAAGACGCCTTTCCGCAGTTGTTAATTTCAAATTGAGAAAGGAAAGCAGGTGTTTTTTGTTTTAATTTTTTTTTTTCATTATACATCTTTGAAAACATGGAGACAGATATAATTCTATAATGCAACAAACATATCTTCTGATAGAGATTTAATATTTGCTAGGCGGTCCTTATGATACTGGCTTTGCACCTATAATGTCGTGCATATGATGTATTGTGGTTCCTTTGAATGCCTGGCCTTTGATGAATGATGATAAAAAATTACTTCGGAATACTTGCTTATCACGTCTTTGCTCGTCAGCGCGTTCTATATATTCCTCAAGGGAAAAAAACCTCGTAATCGTATTGAAAGATAATCCTCGAGATCGTGAATTCCATATCCTAGAGTAGGCGACCACAAAAATCTGCCCACCAAAAAAGTTCTAGTTAAAACTGAACCATGAATGTAAACGGGTTAATAAACCGCAGTTTGAAAGATTATGGATTGGCAAGCGTAATTTGCTTTTATGTCACAATTCATGAGCAATTTTCGAGAAATTCAACCGAATGTGGAATATCAATCGCCATCCCTATGAAAAAGGTAATTTCGTGCCAAATCCATAAGCGAATATAACTAATTGCCATAACACATGATCAACTGCTGTTTAAAGTAGTTATTCAGCTGACCTCAGAACATTTAGATTTATTCTCATTTATTTTTTCTTTATTCTGAATAAAATAAATTAGTCGGAGTATCTGTAATTAGCGTCTTCGCAAAGTCATTTTGCATTTTTGAATAGGTGCGAGTAGGACAAAAGGGAGAAATCTAATTGGTGCTTCGACTCTTTCGAAGACTCCCGTGAATTAATTTTATGCGATTTTATTCGAAAAAGTAGGAATCCGATACCAAAATTTCTCTCTGATAAAGAATAAAATATATCTGAAGGCTGCCGATATATATTTGTCTTAGGCTGGCCTCAATGCTGCTCTCCCATCGTTTCATCTTGTTGTTGAACTCTATTTCTTGCATTTCTTCTTCGCGGTTAACTTCAATGTCATACATATTATAGATGGAGATGTGTGTGATTCATCTACACACTCAAAAGATAGCCGAAAACCAAACAAGATAAGCCTTATTCCATTTATTTTCTGGCCCCTACGGAGTCTGATGAGGCAGACTATTGCAGGTACCAACCAAGAACCTTGTACATCATGTTCCTTAACTAAGAACTTTCGACCTTTTGGAGCAAATGCTGGCAACTGCCTTTTTAAGGAGACTCGATGGTAGACCTTTAGGAATTATAGTCGATTTCGTATCTTTATTCACTGCTTTCGGATTACTGTTTGTCCAACTGATATGGGAATGATCTGAAAGAGTTGCTATTTTCCCCATGTGCCAGTTACGTGCTTGTGAATAATCATTAAACATCTCAACAACTACTCCGCCTGGTTCCATGAAAATAGAAAATGCATGAGCCGCACCGTGCATTCCAAATAAAATGTCTGTATTGGCAATTGTTTCCAGCTGTGCTTTTAGTGGCCATAGATCTAACTGAGCAGCAGTAATGTTTCCATTGGGGAAGCTGGTCTTGATTTCTTGCAGGACTTCTTCCTCATTGGCAATTTTTCTGTCGATAACTGCAGCCAAATTCCTTGGATGACTCTCGTAGTCTCTCCTCAAGATGACTAAGACATTCAAATTTTGCTGACTGCAGTTTCGTAAATGTTTGGCCGCCGAGATACCAAATTCTTTTAATACAAAAGACCTGAATGGTTGAATGTGTCTAGAGGACTTAAGGTTGATGTCTAGTAGAGGAGACTTCTTACGGGGATATCTCCAAATAAGATTTTCGAACACAACGGTATTTGAGTTTTTAAAGAAATCTTTGTCGTTTAGTTTTATTAGCCTTTGGAACAAGACTGTCCAGAAAGAGTCCAGTGAGGACTTTGGATGAGCATCTATGAGAATAATGTTCAGCTTTTCAGGCTGTATACTCACGCTTTGCGTCGTGATGAAAATGTCTAACAGATCAATAATAGTCCAATAAACATTGGCGAATTCAATCCTTTGGATTGCAAAGTAATGGCCATCTTGAAATGACTGTTGCCCTCCAATCGACAAATATTGAGAAGGATTGGCAACTTCCATGGCAGCTTTCCATCTCATTAGTGTGTTATCCCTGTCTGCAAATAGTAACTGCCTCTCGAGCTTGACCATATTGCCACGGCAATAAAGTGTAAAGAAACCTTTGTCTAAGACAAAAAACTCATCCTCCTCGTTGGGGAATTCTACATGAGCCTCGAGAACCCTGGCGTGTCCAAACTTTGGTCGAATGATGATGTACCTGAGGACCATTGCTCCATCCTGCGTTACTTGAACTCTTCGAGAACATGTACTGTTTACTAGATGAAGTTTTCTTCTATCAGCGGAAAGGGTTCTTGCAACCGTTGGTGGACTTCCCAACGTTGCAGGCTTTTTTACCTGGTTGAACGAGCGCTTAACGCTTAGGTCAATCTGTCTTATTATTTGCTTATCATTAACTATTATGTTTTTTTCGGTTTCTGAGTATGAGTTGAGAAAATAGATATTAATCGAAACTACTATTAAGCCAAATAATATGATATCTGAGTATTTGGTAAGTTTTACTAGTTTTGAGACAACGGAGCTTTTTCCAAGACCGGCCATGTGATTCTTGACTCCTTTTTGCAGTCCTCGTTTTTATCAAACTGGAAAGGAAATGTAAAATTTGTTGAAGTGGGATGATTATCACTGTCGTTATTAAACAACAAACATATGAAATACATATATATGAACTGCGGTTATATAACGTATATGTGCACGATCCTTCGCAGTAAAGCACTATTTAAGGAATAATGAAAATCAGACCTGAAAAAAAAAAAAATTCAGGCCTGTACGGGATTCGAACCACTGACCTCTGCGATACTAGTGCAGCGCTCTACCAATTGAGCTAACAAGCCAACTGGGAGCAGGCCATCAAATTAATTCGACATAAACCCGTAGATGATAAATCAAACAACAAACATATGAAATACATATATATGAACTGCGGTTATGAAACGTATATGTGCACGATCCTTCGCAGTAAAGCACTATTTAAGCAATAGTGAAAATCAGACCTGAAAAAAATTCAGGCCTGTACGGGATTCGAACCACTGACCTCTGCGATACTAGTGCAGCGCTCTACCAATTGAGCTAACAAGCCAACTGGGAGCAGGCCATCAAATTAATTCGACATAAACCCGTAGATGATAAATCAAACAACAAACATATGAAATACATATATATGAACTGCGGTTATGAAACGTATATGTGCACGATCCTTCGCAGTAAAGCACTATTTAAGCAATAGTGAAAATCAGACCTGAAAAAAATTCAGGCCTGTACGGGATTCGAACCACTGACCTCTGCGATACTAGTGCAGCGCTCTACCAATTGAGCTAACAAGCCAACTGGGAGCAGGCCATCAAATTAATTCGACATAAACCCGTAGATGATAAATCAAACAACAACAAACATATGAAACATATGTATGAACTGCGGTTATGAAACGTATATGTGCACGATCCTTCGCAGTAAAGCACTATTTGAGCAATAGTGAAAATCAGACCTGAAAAAAATTTCAGGCCTGTACGGGATTCGAACCACNGGAGAAAGGTTTCGAAACTAATTACCACGAGAGACTTTTCCTTGAAGCCTGGCACTCTACTTTGGATCCGAATGCGGGGAACGATCACATCGTACTTCCAGAAGCCTATAAAGACCTCGCGCGAGCATCAAATACATAGTTTCGCGCGCAAGCTTCGCGTCACGTTTTTAACTTTCAATAGCGTATGATAACGATCTTCGTTTTTCATATCACTGATGAAGGCTTAAGCATTAGCCGAAACGTCTGTTTCAAAAATAACAACAGTCAGAGGCAACCAGTTTCTATAAAACTCACAACAAATAGACTAACTTGAATATAAATTCAAAGAAAAGCTTACATGAATTAGAAATAATTTAAAAATCTTAATGATCTTAATGAAATAAAAGATAAAACTATTTATCTACTTTTTAGACTTGGTGTCGAAAGAGCTACTGTTAACAATCTTTACCGAGTATATGGAGAATCACAATTGAAAACTATTGTTCTGGTAATTATGAGAGCATTCATTGACCGGCTTTATTACTGATGTCTTCCTCTTCAAAGGCCTGCATGGTAAGAGAAAGCTACGATCATTGTAAAAGAATTATTTGACGAGGGTTGAAGTTTTTTTCTTGTTTTGTTTGTTGATTTATTCTTTTTTTTTACCGCTACGTACATTTAAACTTGAAAACTGATACAATCGAAGAAACCAGGACCCATTCCAGCTTAAATCAGATCACTTAATTTGTGAAATGTTTTCGATTAATGGAAGATGGGATATACGTTTCGCTAATGTTGAAAAAATCTTTTGGAGATCTGCTCATGAGATCCATTGACGTCTCCGCTCTGACCATTTGAATGCAAGACATTTGGGTGCCTGATAACCTTTGAATCACTTGTGTCACATTGCGCTCAATAAAGGAGACAATATCACTTAATATCCACTGCTCTTCTGGCCTTCCATGAAATCTTTTGAATTCAGATCTCTCTGTCACTTGAAAATATGCATCACTTCGAAGAGAGGGTGGCGAGGGTGTTTTTTTAGGTCTTTTTACATGTGCCCTTAACAGGCTTATGTAAACTTACACCCACTCATTTTCAGCTTCATGAATAATTTATTTCGTACTAAAACAGAAAATAATAATTCCATCTTGCATTGAGGGAATGAGTTGTTTTCTTTTTTTTTTTCGTTGAATCTCTGACCGAGGATTTTATTTCAGGGGGCGTCTTTTCTGCGACACTAGCTAAGTTATGCTAAAATACTTGAATGCTTGCCTTTGACTTCGCTCACCGCCTATCCGAGACTAAGAGTATAAAATCCTGGTGACGAGGAAATCTGTCCATTGTCAGAAATTCAAGGGCAATATCATGTTCCAAGGTTTAGGGAAAATTTCATTCATATCAGCTTGAGTCTTTTCAAAGATGAGGAAGTCCATGATATAAAAGATACAGGAGAGATAACCCCCATGGGTGTTTGGGTAGTTTTGCCTTTCTAGCAAGTCTCAATGGGGTTAACCTGGGCCGTGAAACGGCCAAAAATTTAGACGTTAAGGGTAAAAATTGGAAAATTTTAATCGTTGGTCGTAAAGAAAGTTAACCGTAATTTCCTTACACTTAGGTAGCACGAAAGGCCGTAAAAATCTTGAACAAAAGCTCATCTTTTAAACCGGCAGTCTAAATCCCACAGGGATCAACGAACGCTTTTCATTCCACTAATTTATTCTTGTTTTTCTCGTTGCCATGTTCCCATCAATAACGTAGCTCCATTCTCTGCCTTTAAAAGCACACACAACCCACAATTCCTCTATTCGCTCCGACGAAGGGCTAACGCTCGAAAGGTCAGCTTTTGAAATCGTTACGGTGGCCAATTTACCACTTCAACTTTGTTGATATATCCAAGTTAACCGTAAAAAAACCTATTGTGACCATCATGGAAAGATATTAACTGTTAGTCGTAAATTGACCAAAATTTTAACCGTTACCCGTAAAAGCCATCAGCCCACTGAGACCCTCATTTTAGTGAACTTTAATATTTAATCTAATTCAATCAATGTCCCTGCTGACCTGCTTGCAGCGGGAAATGGTGTCAACTCAATTAGACGTTTAAAAAATACGACGATAAATAATGTAGCAATAGATGTGGACACTACAGAAATCATGATTGGAGCGAAATCTAGATAAAACTTGGATTGCCAAATTGGCTTAAATGTTTCTAGTGCTTTGTTATTTGTTATATGTAAATAATGAAAGCTAGGTCAAAAAGATATTGGGTTTCTGAAGGTCTTGCGCATCTCAGAGCATAAGTGACCATTGTTTTGACCTGTTTTCACAAACAATAGGGACCAAGGCTGAGAGAGCAGACGGAAGTAATTTTTTTCCTCTCTTTTCTTGGGCTCTTGGCTAAAACATACAGAAAAACGCCAGTTAAGCAGGCCAAGATTCGTGGTAAAGAAAAACTTATCAATATTAAAAGAAAATAAATGGTAACGAAGCCAAAATGATGTCATATTCAAAGCCCCCTTACTTAACTACAAAATGTAGGAATTAATCCATCTGCAGCACATTCCTTGGAAGGTTTAACAGAGAAGAAACTTTCTTTCTCAAAAACGAAACTTTGTAGAATTCAGTTATATCTGTTAGAGATGTCTTTAGTGATGCTACTGAGTAAAGTGGAAGACCTCAGGTTGGCAGATAATTTCAGTCGATTGGCTGCTAATGATGACTCTAAGGTCGATTTCCCAAGCGCACTCCGCCCTCGTTTAAAGTCTACGTAGTTCAACCGGCAGAGATGTCAATGAAGTTATCTAGATTTTTTATAGGTGGAAGCTCACATAAAGTGAGAAAAAAAATAACCATTCAGAAAGGCGATTTTTAGCTACATTTTAGAACTAATTATTACTCCTATAGCATTTACGATCATGAACCTAATTTTTTGTGAATTTTGAAAGCTTACCTTTTCTATTTTTCGCAAGTCCGCGCTTGGCTCTCTGTAAGTGAAAACGCGTGCGCGAAAAATGGCGGGGATCGGGTGACGAAAAAATATAGAAGAGAGACTGTAACAGTTATGTTGAATTAACCCCATTCCGCTCATTGATCCAACCACTCGAGATATAATTGAGAAATTGGAGTCTTTCCGATCCCACCCACTTCAAGCAAACCTTTTATGGTGTCAACATGTCAAACATATTTACGTTCCCTTAAAAGCATAATGCCTTTACGAAACGAGAAATAATTAAAAAAATTAGACCTTTTCTTTTCATATCTTCCCGGTCCAAAGAGGAAGACTGAACATACACATTATCAGTTTACTATCTTTACCCACCTTTAAGCAGCCCTTTTAGGCTTAGGCAAGGAAATCTGAAAGACATTTTAACAACATCTTGCTATGCGTTTGAGTTGGGGAGACTCCGGCTCCGACTTGGGCTTTGTTTAGCCTCCGTCACGTGAAGGCAGGTGATTGACGTAAGGACAAGCACTGATGAAAGCTCATTGTCACTCGAACAAGCCAAACTTAGGATGATGGGTGAGCCGCACGTACATTCTAAACAAAATATCTATGTTGATATATGAGGAGGACATTGTTACAATAGTTATGCTATGCAAGCGCTTAATGATTTTCAAAGTACCCATAATTATTTACGAATTACCCATAATGTGCTTTTAGACTTGTCTGAGAATAATGCGTGTTGCTTATACGGTGTGTTCTAGC